GATCTCCTACTTTTCTGTTCCATGCCAATTCTCGGGATTTTTTAACAAACTCGCTGTAGATTTTTGAGTGGACGTAAGTTCGGGATGCTGCGATACAAACTTGACCGGAGTTGGCGAAAATTGCTTCGTGAGCTATTTTTGCCGCTTCATCCACTACAAAGATATCAAAATAGCTTCAATTATTTGAACTCTAATTATCAATGATTATTCAAGTATATATTACAAATTTATTACTCACCATTAACATCATCAAAAATAACCAAAGAACTCTTCCCGCTAAGATCGAAAGTCACGCGCTTCAAATTACTATTTCCCGAAGCCTTCATTATCAATTTCCCAACCTAGAAACAATCAAAGCACTTAAAAAAAATTCTAAACTGCAAGTAAACTTTCCCTAATTCAAGTCAAAAAATTCTCACCTCAACAGATCCAATGAAAGAAATTTTAGCGACATCAGGATGTTCAGCCAGAGCGGCTCCCGCGGTGGGACCGAACCCAGGAATAACATTGACAACTCCTGGAGGAAACCCAGCTTCTTTAGTCAGCGCAGCGAGGTACAAATTACACAGCGGAGTCTGTTCTGCTGGTTTAAGAACCACTGGACATTCAGCAGCCAAAGCGGGTCCCAATTTAATTGCATAAAGCAAAACCGGAAAATTCCAGGAAGTAATTTGCCCCACGACTCCCACTGGCTCCTTCCTAGTCATCACGAAGCTTCCATCGTCTGTTGGAATAGTTTGGCCTTGGATCTTGTCGCACCACCCTGCCTTGTACCGGGAAGTGTCCGCAGCCATTTGAGTTTCACCCACTGCATGAGCAAAAGGCTTTCCGTTCTCCAGCGTCATGATACTTGCGATTTCCTGGACATGACGCTCCACCAAATCCGCGAGCTGAAATCAACAAAGTTAATTAAATCACTTGCTAATAATCCGGAAAAATTAAAACAGTTCCTCACCTTGTTTAGAAGCGCGGATCTTTGCGCGGGTTGAAGGCTCCACCATTCAGATCCGCGAGCGAACGCTTTCTTCGCTGCTGCTACCGCTTTGTCGACATCCGCCTGCAAAAAACCTTCATTATAAAATATCCAATTCATATTTATTCTCTGATGAAAAAATTTTTCTTGATTTAAGTTAATTTTATTGGGTTAAAAATTTCTTCTCCATTTAAGACAAAAAATTTCATCATTAATTGCAAATTTTTCTCTTG